TTGTCCAAACTGTTCTTGCCTCTGACTTGAGCCGCTGTAAGAGATTCCTGTCTGGGCTCCCCGAATCTGTTCTGACCTTTCTCCACTCATTCTTCCTTCTCCAACAAAAATGACCTTTCCATATGCAAATCGAAGCATAAGTACCAAAATTCATCTCTGCTCTCAACCCAATCAGTTATCTGCCTAAAAGTCCTGCATACTCTATTGCTCTTTGTGGAAATCGACAGACCCTTAATACGGCCTACAGAATCATTTTTTATACTGGTCCCCAGTCCCTGTCCAACCTCACTCTTTATCACTTTCCCCATCACCTTATGTCCTCCTCCTGTCACCCTGGCCTTTCCTGGGTTTCTTGATTAGGCAGAATTCCATGTGGACCAGGAGCTTTTACAATACCCTTCCTTATTCCCAGAACAATCTTCTTTCCTTTTCTGCTTGCTTACTCTTAAGTTCTCAAGGTAAACATCACATCCTCAAGCACTGCATGAATTCTATCTGAAGAGGTTCTTTTGCTATATGATGATATAACAGAGAAGGATGATCTTTACACTCACCTTTCTTTGGGACAGAACCTACATTTGGCTTAAAGCTGTATCCCTGACCAAACTGCAATGCAGAATAATGATGTTCTCAACATCACATCTGTAGCATCCAGTGCAAACATCGCACACACTTGGTAAGCAATCAACAAATATTTGAGGAGGGAATGAATCAAAAGCCTATTATATAAGCCCTATTTTCCTCATTTTATAGATGAAGAGAAGGAAGCTCAGAAAATAAGTGATGGAGTGTGTGGCTAATACCTGTGTATCTAGTACCAGAACCCAAATGGTACCTGACATTACAATAGCTCATATGGCTCCTAGGAAAATGCATCACAACCACAGTGCTGTGTGAATGTCTGTGTGCTTATTGTTGCTGCTGTTGCTATAAAACAGAAAAAACAGTACGGAACAACTGGTAATGTCTCAAATCACCTTCATTATTTCACGGGCTGTTATTGAGAGAAAGACCTAGATGACAGAGTCATTGATTAAACAGGAATCATATAATTTTACCATAGCTTAGGGGGATAGCATTTTGGGTAGGAGGACTGCTGTGGTTTAGATCAAAGATGACCCCCAGAACTCTTATGCACTCACACAGGCAAGGCTTTGGGAGGTGACTGGATCATGGTGTGTGGGGGGTACAACATAGCTGACTGTGATCTTAGGAGCTGGAGCCTGGCCGGAAGAGGCGGGCACTGGAAGCATGACCCGGAAGGATTCATCTCCCTTCCCAGCTCCTTCCGTTTCTCTCTGCTTCCTGGCAGCCCTGATGTGAGCAGCTCTCCACTGCAGTGGGCCTTTCCACAGTGCCATTTTGGCCTTGCAGCCGGCCCTGACTATGGACTGAAACCTAAAAACTGTGACCCCAAATAAACCTCTTCTCCTTTAGGTTGTGTGCACTGGGCATTGTGTCCCAGCCATGAGAACGTCACCAAGACATTGGCCATGGGTTTTGGTATAGACTTGCCCTAATATTCACTTACTGAAACAAAATTGTGCTAGCACCAACCTTAACTCTCAAAGCTATTCATCATGGGCCATAAGTGATGTGGCTGTCCTATTTATTTACAGATGAGGCATCAGGACCAGAAGAAAGGGATCTAGATGGTAGAGCCTTAGATCTTTGTTCTAGCTCTGCCTTTACATTTGAGTGTGGCAAGTTACTCCAGCATACTTGAAAGACAAGGTTCTTATTAGCCCACACTTTTGTGAATTTTGTGATACCTTTAAGCTAGAATGTTAAGGATAAGTAGAATTTAAACAAGAAGACCTGGTTAGAAAGTGTCTGTAAGCTTGAGGAACACATGGGGTAGGCCACAAAAGTATCAGAAGTACATCAATTATTTAGGTACACAGGCAACTTGGCTGGAGGGGGAAGATATAGGTTGAGGAAGGTAAATTGAAGGTATTTTTACTGTATAAGTAGGAAAGAACATGTGATGAAGAGGATAAGGTGGTACATACTTTAGGTAACTCTGATAGGAACAGAAAATAGATCCGAGATGTTTAATAGAATATAAGAAACTATGTGAAACAGATGCAGTAGAAGATAATGGAAGATCAAAGCTGGGCAGGAAATGTAGTAAAGGGAAGGGACTTGGAGAGGAGATCCACCAAGGCAGTGGACACGAAAGTGTTCAGTGGCTGGAGAATGACTGAATCAGGGAATCATTTGTTCAACAATTATTTTTAGCACCAATTTTGAGCCAGATACTATGCAAGTTATTCTAGTGAACAAAGTTGATCGTCGAATTTAAAAAATGATGCAAACACAGTACACATACAGCGTGAAGAGCAGAATGGGCACACATATGGTCCAGGATCATTTACGTCATGAAGGACATGCGCACCTCCCTAAGGGCACGGTGTGAGCATCACAGAGAAGCCATTCGACCTGACCCTGAGTGATTGAGCAGAGGAGGTGGTTGGGAGTTGGAGCAGGTACTCCATGCCAAGGCTCGTGTCTTCTGGGTCTTTATATTCCCAGAGCCGGGGGGAATCCCAGAAAATAGAAGCACAACAAAGCGCTGGAGTCTAGCAAGAGAGAGAGGGAGTGAAAAGTTAGATGACGGGGTCTCAAAGGAGAGGAGGGAAATGAGGACAATCAGAGGTTGAACGTAAAGACTGCTTTGGTATCTCTGCATGCTGCACGGGGCCAGGCTACCCTGAAAGAGTCTATTCTGCCTTTACAGCTTGCTAGCCTGCAATTAGTTTATCCATCAGGAGAAACTGACTCAATAAGCACAATTACAAATTTCTAGTCTAGTTACATTCTAAAACCTTAAAGATTTGATTATATTTTGGTTTCAGGGAAAGGGCACAGATTTAAAGGAGTCAGAAGTCTTGATATTTTCTGGAATCTTTTTGCTCATCTTTAATTGACAGGATATTTACTTTTCAGCTTAGTTTTCAGGTCGATCCAGTGACACGTCTCTGTGACACATGCTCTCATTTCACCTTGGCAGATTGGTTTCATTAGAAATAATCCACAGTGGGGGTAATGCTAACATAATGTTGCCTCTAAACTGGGCACAGTTTGATGAGAGATTTGGATGTACTCGGTGGGTTGCTATTCCAGTTTCAGACATTTTGCTGGCATTCCCTGAGTGCCTGCCAAGAGCAGGGGATGACAGCTAAATGGGCTTTTCATATTCTGAATGTGGTCGTGGAGGTTTAGCCTTGTGATTCTCTCTAAAAGCCTTTGGGAACTGATGGACAGGCCCTGAACTCTGCGGAGAAATGTTATTTCAAGGGAGTTCTTGCCAATTCCAAATTCACCAGTTAAAATTTGAAAATGAATTAGATCATCTCTCACATTTATACAATGTTTAATCCAATTTGCCATGCAATAGCTCATGCACTATCCCATGTAACTTCATGGTGACCGTAGGCTGGAGTCAACAATGGCCAGCTTTTTCCATTTTATGGATTTTACAGCTGAGGGGTAGGTTTAAAGAAAGTAACTTGTTTGTCCATAGTTGCACAGATAATTAAATGTTTTATGAGGTCCGGGAGTCAACTTGGTCTACCCATTTCCGTCCAGTGCTTATTATACTTAATCATGAGGTCTTCTTGGCAACAATTTTAAAAGCACTCATTGAATGAATGACAATTCAGCCTTTGCAACAAATAGCGTCTGTACCAAAGATTTAGGCAGGTATGCATCATGAAGATTGAAAAGGTACAAAGTTCAGTTGCTTTGCCCTTCAAGGCTTGAACTATGATGCTCTTTCCTAACACAACGGTGGTCTTTCTGGCCCATTGGCTCAGATGTCTGATGCTCATCATACGTGTACCACGGATCTCCTGTCCAGATATATGTAGAAAGATTTATAAACAAAGGAAGTCACTGTAGTGCAAATCCTTTAGGCCTAGAAGTTCCATTTAACTAAGATGATGCCTCACCAGTCTAATGACAAATAGTGCTCCATCTGATTTTTGTTTGTTTGTTTGTTTGAGACAGGGCCTTGCTATGTAGTTCAGGCTGGCCTTGGATTCACTGTGTAGCCCAAGCTGACCTTGAACTCACAGCAATCTTTCTGCCTCAGCCTCCCAAGTGCTAGAATTACAGGTGTGTGCCACTATGCCTGGATTCCATCTAATTTTTTGATACCCAAGTTGACTGCATTAAAGTTGCTGCAGCAGAATGTCACTGATAGTCCAGATTCCTCTGCCCACCACTGTTACCCTTCAAGAGGGTGTGTTCACTTCCTCAGTGTTACCCAGTGTCAAAAGTGCTCCATGGGTGACAAAGTGCCCACAGTGCTGCTGACCCAGAAGAGCTTGAGCCTCAGCTCTATCCTCATCTGGAAGCATCAGATAACAAGTAGGCTTTGGCTTTGAACCTAGGTCTTTTGTCAGTGCACTTCCTTAAACTCTTTTCTGAAGGTCTTTGACGAACTTATGTATTTAAGATGATTCCAATCTAGTAAGAGGGTCTAGTATTGAATATCACAATGGAAGCTATTGAAATGTTTACCTTCTAGGTATCTGAAACTTCTTAATCTCTTTGTACACTTTCCCATCAATCACTGCAACGTCTATGGTACAACAGATGGTGTCAGAAGAGAAAGGTTTTAAAAAATGCCCCCAAATTATTTCAATTTATGATGCCTTGCCTTACTGTACATGAGAGACATTTTTAGTGATTCTTCCTGGAACCAGAAAGGCAAGTGAGAGACTCTCCCTTCTGCATATTTTGTACAACAAAACTAAGAACAGATTGATGTCTTACTTATCCAGGCAACAATGATACAACTTTGACCCAGACTATGGAAAGAGTGGACAGTCTTTGGGTAATCTTTCTGGATAGGGGGAAGCCTTTGTCCTAACATTGAACACCGAATGCATCTAAGAAAGAAAACAATAAGGAAAGAATGAGTTTATTCCTATGTGTAACTCTGATTCAGAAACCTCTCCTTGAGCTGCCTTATACTCTGTTGACAGCCAGGAAGCAGAACCAATGTCCTTAAGTTGGAATGCTGGAGAAAAAGAAGGCATAAAGGACAGGAGGGACAGGAGAGGCCATGGAGCTCTGAAGCCAGAGAAGGGAAAGGAGCCTGGAGTGCACAAGGCCACTGATTCCAGGACTGCTCTGTGAGTGATGTGACAATACTGGGGCCAGTGCACAACAAAAAGCTGGCGTGGACTTTGTGGTCACCAGAGGCAATGGCAGAGGCACTGAGTAGCCACGGGCAGATGGGCTCAAGCTCAGCGGTGTTGGTCCCAACGATTGTGGCACTGAATGTTCTGTCACAGTGACATCTGTGCTAGTTGGGCTTTTCTCATGCAGTTATTTTCTCCTTTTCAGGGATGGGAATGCAGAAGCCCAAGGCACATAGTTGGAAGTTGGCTAACTAAGATATCATCCTTGGTTATGGGACTGAAATGTGCATAAAAGGTAAGACTCTGCCCGGCTGAGTGAGCAATGCCTTAGAATAGAATACAGAGGCCCAGGAACTTGAGAACTACGGGTAAGTGTGTGAATTATTTGCAGTCTCAGGAGGAAGAGATGTACTTTCAAAGGGGGTATTTGAAGAGACACTGACAAATGGCCTATTTATTTTATGGTGTTGTAGGCAGAGTTAAAGGAAATCAACATGCGATTGAGAAGTATTTTAAGGGAAGTGCAAGATCTCCTACTGTGACCTTGGCCTGGAGAAGCAAAGGGAAGGAAGAGTGAGCAGAGGTTTGAGAGAGCTGCTACAGCAGCTGCAGCTGTGGGCTTTTGGTAGAAGAATTTAGCAACCCCTAACTCGTGGTCTGGCAGAGCTGTGCCAGGAAATGAATTCCTCTTTCTTTTTCTGCGTTTGAGCTCTTCCTAGTCCATCCCATCAGGGCTCTCCTTTCTCAAGCTGGAGGGCCAAGCTACCCGGGGAAGTCAGTCTTCTAGGGCGAAGAAATAGAAGAGGAGAGGAAAGAGGGTGGGTCAGGATGGGCAAGCGAGACCATCCACAGATAGCCGCTTCAAACTGCCCTGGGCAACTTCACAGGGGTTGACTAACTCAAATTCCTACATTCTTGGCTCAAGGAATATCCTGAAATAGAGGTATTTTCTCTAGATATGGAAAAAAAAAAGAGTATCTTATCTCTGTGAGACTTCAGGCTAACATAGCCAAAAGCCAAACAAATATTTTGATTCTGTAACTTGCCAGATGATAATATTAGTTGAATTTAGTATCACCAGCCTTCTCCTAGAGTTAGGACAGGGAAATAGGGTGAGACCCCATGGGCTAGAGTGGGGATCTGTGGAAGAATTCAAAGTCTTAACTCATAATCCCATAATACACTGGGCCTCTGTAGCCACATGAAACAGTGGGAATATTTTTAATAAAATGCTGCAACCTTGCTAGGAGATCCTGTTTTTGACTCTAACTCTTGCAAAGAAAAGCCAATTCTCCTTTCATACTCTATCTGGCAGCTTCAATGGCTTTACATCCATAAAGCTTGCCTCAGGATACCTGCTAGGGAGATATTTCAAAAATGGAATCTGAGATGAGAAACATATCCAAATGTATTAAAAGACTTTATTACTTTATGTAGACAAAAATCTAAAATATGTGCATGAGAATAGATTCACAGAGTGTTGGATTAAGAATGGAAGAAGCTAATTTTATTTCAGGCTGAGCGTATTGATATTGGCCCATTTTATCATTATTTTGGTTTCAGTGCATAAGATTTATCAGCTGGGAATGGTTCTGATTGTTCAACTGGTTGACTAAGAGCTGGAGCTCTGTGAAAAAGAATGTCACTTTCATTGTGGAGACGGAATTAAAATACTTTCAGAGATAAAAAGGTTGAAACCAATTAATCATGCAAGACTCTCCTAGATATTGCCTAACCATGGGCTCAGAAGACATTTTATTAAGGCCTTGAAATATACATTGGTAAAGGGAGTGGGAGAATTTTTAAAAACTTATCTCTTCATAAAAATGCATGGAAGTAAACTTCCCAGCATCTGCGCCACTGGGGGACTTCAGGGTGGAAGAGATCCTGGGGTACCATTCACTGGGAGTGTTGGTATCTAAATAGGGTGGAGGGTTGGCATGGTCACATTTTCTGGGTTCTGACTAGCCACATCTCCTGGGCTGAAGGGAAGGAATGGAACTCCTGAGAGCAGATGCTAAAATAGCATTGAGAGCACACACCCCAGAGCTCTCTGGTAGGTGCCGAGTATTGCTTCACAGTGACTAGAAAGTGACTAAGACAGAGAGCTTTTGTAAGTCTAATTTTCTAATTGCTAAGTCCAATTTTCCCAGTTTTCTAACACACATCTGAGAAAGAAACCTCATCGTGTTTGCCTGACTCACAGAAGAAGGTGTTGAGGAGGTGAGGCTGAATGCAGCTGATTTGCTGCAATGCAATGGGAAATAGCTCCGTGGGAAGCCAAAGAGATTGTCACTGTCACTGTCACTTTTGGAGACTTGAATGGAGAAACTTCTAACTCCCAGCCAGGCACAGCTATTTGGAAGGTTGAGGCAGGAGGACTGCTTAAGTCCAGGAGTTTGAGGTCAGCCTGGGAATCATAGTGAGCCCCTACATCAATAAAATCTCATTTATGTGTGCAGTTTTGCAAACATGGAGGACAGATGGCCTGGAGGAGAACATCATAGGTGATTTGTTTGTGTAGTATGGTCTCCTCACTGGAGAAAATTAGTGTTAAGAAACTGCTAATTTACTCTAATTTTTCCTCCATCCTAGTGAACAGAAAACTCTAGGTGCAGTTTGCTTTTATGTGAATCATTATAAGAGTATATTAACTTTCTGGTTATGGGCAATAGTTTAGACTTTAGGGGCCATGACCACCTGGGGACATTTTTTGGGGAGGAGTTGGGGCATTGAGGATACCATGCTGGTAAGACTTAGAAAGCAGGAGAAGGTACCCATATGGCTGATATACAGTGAGACCTACATGTAAGAATATCTGTCACCATCTTTATTAGTCAGCTTTCCCCTCATGGGGACAGAATGCCTGATATCCACAACTTAAAGAAGGAGAGGATTGATCTTGTTTATGGTTTCAGAGGGTACAGTCCATAGTTGCTTTCTCCAACCATACAGCATGGTAGAAGGGCATGGCGGAGGATAGCTATGCAGTTCATGGGATCCAACAAGTGAACAAAAGATGGGAGGAGTCAGGGAGGGAGATAGAGCTGCAAAGGCACACCTGTTCTTCCAACCGGGCCTCACCTCCTAACAACACAACTACTTCTCAGTGCATTAGTAGATCAAAGCACTCACGAATATAGAGCTCTCATGATCCACTCATGTTTCAAAAATCCTCACTTCTGTACATATGAGACTCTTGGGGGAACATTCTAGATCTAAACCATAAGAATACATAGGATTCCAAGGTATCTCTGCATTATCCTACTATCATGAAGTAGCTCAGTGGTGTAGGAAATACCTTTGAATCCCTTCAAACTGAATGAAAAGTGGGTCCTTTGCCCCTGAGGAAGAGATAAAGAAACTTTTTGGGCTTTTTTCTACTTGGAAGAAATATATATGATATTTACATGTGCTGCACTGTATTTGCTGGGTATCTCAAAACGTTCATAGGCTGATGTAGGGCCCAAAATCTTTATAGCTGGGCTGAAAAGCAGGGCAAGCAACTATCAGTGCAGTAGCACATGAACTCCATGAAGGCAACAGAAACTTCATTTTGCTTATCAATGACTCCAGAGTTGGCATATAAATAAGTACCTGTTAAATGAACAAATAACAACTTTAATGGTGCACAGAATATCCGAGCAGATCCAAATATTCTATGCAATCTGTGACCATTAATCACGATATGTTAACTTGACTAGATTAAGAAATGCCAGGCCAATTAGTAAAGCACACTCATGGGTGTGTTTGTGGGGTGTTTCCAGAGATGATTGGCAAACAGGCCCCAAGTGTGGTGGGCACACCAATGGGTTTGTCAGCTCTACAAAATAAAGGAATAGAAAAAGGAAGTTGGTGCATATGTTTTGGAAGTTCCATTCTGCTTGAGCAGGTCCATCTGTTGCTCTGTCACCTGTGAACATCAGACCCACTTTCTCCAGCTCTTCAACACAAACTCACCTGGGGAACTCCAGGGAGCTTCAGAGCCTTTGACTTTGGCCCGGCGCTGCATCCTCAGTCTGCCTTGTTCTGCAGCTTCCAGCCTAGGGCTGAGCAGCTGCTTGATCCTCTAGCTTGCTAGTGCACAGTCATTGTGGATCCTCCCACATCCTGTATGTCTGTGAGTCTGTCTACTCAGTCTGCTCGCGTACTTCTACATATTTCTATCCATTCCACTCCTCCAGAGAACCCCAGCCAATACACAATCTGTGACTGTGATAAGACTTCACAGAAAGTGATGTAGTAAAGGTTCCTAGGATTTCGATACAAGGTTTTGCCTTTTGAGTGAATAACTCTTGAGAAGTTATAATCTTAGGTGTATGATGCCAGGTAATATTGTGAACTGATCACTACCTGATACATGAAAGTACAAAGTTGAGCATTAACAAGAGCATTTATCATATTGTGAATTTTATTAACTGTAAGGCAACATCTTTCATACTAAAATGTTTCTGAAATTACAATGTGTCTACAGTTGATGGCCCTTTAGTGTTTATTTGGAAGCATTAACTTTGTCTTTCTGGAGGGATCATGAAGTGATCCTGCTTATAACTGTTGAGATACGTGTTATTATTATTAGCATTTTAAAGATGAGAAAACTGAGGCACAGAAAATTAATGTGTGCAAAATCACATCTTCCAATAAGAGATGGAGCAAGAATTCAAACCCAGGCAGGCTGGCATCAGAGACTGGGCCTTAGTCACCAGGCTATATGGCCTGTTAGAAAATTTAAGAAGGACAAAATGATTTTATATCTTCCAATTTATGTAGTGGAGGGCATGTGGGAACTCATGTACTTCCTACTTAATTTTCCTTTGAACATAAAACTGCTGTAGAATTGTCTACTGATTTAAACATCATACACTATATCTAAAAATAGTTATATGTCTTGTGAGTTATCAATAAAAGACTCCCTGTGTGGAGAAAGCTTTTAATTCAGGACTCCATCATAGCAAAGTCTTTCTTAATCCATCCTAACCCTTATTTGCTGACCCGGGGTCGAGAAGCCATGATGCCTCTGGGGTCAGGCATAAGGAGAAGGATGAACTCTATCTGAGAGCTGAATGGACTTCTACTGATGAAAAAGTTACCAGCACCAGTGACTGTCCCAAAGCCCGAGTGGCAAGTTGATTAAATTGGACCCATCTTCATAGAGAGAGCATGATTTGTCCTCCCTGGGCTGTTCCAGTGCCAGTACTTATAACTGTACACATGCCTTACAGGATGGCATGGTCTCCAACAATACTGCTTCTTATTAAGGAGCTCTCTTATTGTACAGAAGACAGTGGATTGATA